CGGATGCCCTCCCAGCTGCAACCCATCTCTGGGAAACATACATACATACTCATTCACACTCATACACTACGGACAATTTAGCCTACTCAATTCACCTGTACCGCATGTCTTTGGACTGTGGGGGAAACCATAGCACTCGGAGAAAACCCACGCGAACGCAGGGAGAACATGCAAACTCCACACAGAAATGCCAACTGACTCAGCCGAGGCTCGAACCAGCGATTTTCTTGCTGTGTGGTGACAGCACTACCTACTGCGTCGCCAAATTACTTTATTATTTGATATAAAACTATATATTTTTTATTTATTAAAATAATTTCCAATTATTAAAAAGCCTTTTCAGTGTCAGTTTTCAGCCAAATGCATCTTGAATTTTCCGTTTCAATCAACAAGCTTCATTTCAGTGCTTCCCTAATCTTGCTATAAGAGGATCTTTTTGCATTGCACAACTCAAAAACAAGGCGGCAAAACATCTAATTATTATAAACATTTTAAATTATAAACATTTAATTACTATAAAAATAGAACCAAACCCTTTTTCCCCAAATGTCATTATTATTAACAAAATTATTGTTATCAGACATTTATAAAATACTTATTTAACGTGTTGAAGCAACTCAATTCTTAAGTTTATTGGGGGCAACTTGACTGTTTTATGTTCAACTCACTTACATTTATAAAAACAATCAAGTTAACCGAATTCTTTACTTTTTTATCATTTCTATTGTTAAAACATTCTCACATTTCGCAGGGTTGTAAAACCCAACAATGTTTTAACACTACACATATATTTACAATATTTTTTGTTAATTCGGTTTAATTTCTGAATGTTAAGTAATCATAAGTGGTAGTTGTAGTTGTTGTTGTTATTATTAATAATGCTGTTGTCATTTTCACTGACATTATTACTATCATTATTATTATTGTACTATCTATCTATTATATGTTTTATTTAAATCTTTATTATTCTTGCTTCATTTTTTTGAATTGTTGTATATTTTTATGTTCTCTTGTGTATATACTTTGTTTGACTTGTTCACCCAGTTACCTTTACATGCGCGCGCACAACAGGATTGTTTTTATTTTCAGCAGGGTGTTTTATGTTGATTTTCTCTATAGAGACTTTTTGGATCGCTTGTTTCTATTTTAAGATGACCAGATGGTTTTAGTTTCAGTTGTGTTTGGGAATTGTGACTAATATTACACTCTTTCTTTTCAGAAACCCCTTTTCTGGCCGTGAGGTTCCCATCTCGAATGGCTCTGGCTTTATAATAAGTAGTGATGGCCTGATAGTGACAAATGCCCATGTGGTCGCCAACAAGCGTGGTGTTCGTGTCAAACTGACCAATGGTGAGACTTACAACGCCACAGTTCAGGATGTGGACCAGGCTGCAGACATCGTCTCCATCAAAATCAATGTTAAGGTACAGATGGAGCTTTGAGGTTGTACTGTTAACATATGTAATCTTTTGGGGATATTGTATTTTTTAATTAGGGATGCATCGATCCTGATACTTGGATTGGATATCGATACTGCATATTTTTACTGCAAATCCCATCTTGCAGGTGCTCTATATTCTGTGTAATTTATAAGCAAACAAAAGCCAGAAATGTAGCCTTTTATAAGACAGTAGAAAGTTGTCTTGTAGGCCTACTGTATCCCAAATGTTTTGAAGCCATTCTATAGTTTAATGTGAAGTACAGATCAATATTCACATGGTTAAATTCATGTTCAGTTCTGCGCTTCCCTCCGCTGCGCCTGTCAATCATTCTCCGTTTATTTACAATTCAAACTGCGTGTCACGTTCATGACAACATGAAAAACTTTCTCCAACACTATTTGTTCCTGTTAATTTAAATAAATACTAATTTATTATATTATATTAATTTATTATAATATGATATATATTATATTGGTTCATTTCGACCTGAAACGACGAGTTCATTTCTGTTTCTAAATCATGTAGCTGTTAGATCAGCAGATCGCATTCGCAACACTGGAACTGAGGTGGTTATTACCTGCTCTTCACACACAAAGTAGGCCTACCTGAAATTTAAAACTAGAAAAGGCTCAATAATACATTGGACAGATCCTTAACGCACTGATTTCTTTCCTTTTTACTGCTGTTTTGGATTGGAAGCTGTCTCAGTGATGCATCAAGCACTTCATTCACACACCGGCTGATGTGACGTGTGCCGCTCTGTAAAATTATTCTGTAACATTAAAAGTTTCTGTTTTCTCATCCTTCCGACTGAGTTTATTCTTTCGAGGGGAATACTTTTAGAATAGTTTGTAAGCCTGGCTCATTGTGGTCAAAGTTGTTGATTAAATTAATAAAAGTGAAACTGACAATCACAATATAGATTTTCATAAACAGAAAATGATTAAGGGTGCTTTCACACCTACACTTTTGTTTCGGAACGTATCTTGTTTGCCCAGTTAGCGCGGTTCGTTTGGCATATGTGAACAGGGCAATCGCGCTCTGTTCCGCGCCAAAGTAATCGCTCTGAGATCGCTTGAATGTGGTGGTCTCGGCTCGATTGAAACGAACCCTGGAGCGATTCGATTGCAGTGAGAAAGCGATCCAATCCGAGCGCAGTTATATCACAGTGTTTTATGGATATGTAATAGGCATACAGCTATATGAAGAGAGAATTATGAGTAGGGCCGGAAGTTTCGCGAGTCTCCGGATGCCTGCAAACGAGTGATGATCTCCCGGTAATCTTGCATCTCCCTCCCGGTCCTCAAATAGGCATCGTCGCGCACCCTTCTCACCCCTCCCCCCCGCGTCTCTCCTCAGACACGTCGCGCGCGCCCACCCTGTCAATCACCACCAAACCACCACCTCTCCTGACAGCTGAGCGGGACGCTGCAAAATAAACCCTGACACTGACCAATGTGAGGAGAGTTTACTCGCACGTGACATGTTTTAGCTCTTTTGGTCCAATTAGAAACTTTGCAGTGTGAAAGCGAACCGCACCAAGAGCAAAGAGCAACAATGTAACATTTGTAATCTCTGTTTCGGAACAACTAAATCGATTCACTGGCGTGAAAGCACCCTAAGCCTCATATAGGTTACTCTGAAACTGTGAATATTTGTTTGTAATTTTATTTATATCAATAGTTTATTTAACAGACCAGTTTGTGTTTTGATTAGGGTCAATAGTGGTAGCCTGTTGCAGAGATTAAAGAAAAATCATACTATTAAAAAAGGAAACATAAGCTGGACCACATCACCATAGAAACTGTATTATGCTTAAAAAAAATGGCACAGTATCAGGATCGGATCTGTATTGGTCGATACTCAGAATTTTGGGATCGAAATCGAATCAGTTCCAAAAAGATGGTATCGGTGCATCATTATTTTTATTGAGTCATAGTTTAATATGGTAAGAGCAAGGACTTATTTTATTTTATTAATTTACATTTTTAGTAAAAGGTCTTTATCAAATGAGTAATTTCTTTTTGAATTTTGTTCATTTAAGAATTAAACCTATAGAATCAAAATTGTGTCACTGTTAGTACATTAAAAGTGTGAGGTCAATATGATTTTTAATGTTTTTAATGGCTCTACATTAACTTTTTTGATCACCAGCCTATATGGCAAGTAGTTTTTCAACTTTACTAGCCACTCGCCATTTTCACTTTTGTTGTTGGGAAAATATATTTATATTACTTGATTTAGATGTGTTGTGTATGACTTTGCTCAATGAGCATGAGCGGTAGTGGTTTCATGGTGTTGCTTTGTAATTATTTCAGGGCTCAACATGAAGGTTGTATCAATTTTTTCTCTGGCCACACTGGAAAATAGATAAATAAATAAATAAATAAATAAATAAATTAATTAATTAATTAATTAATAAATAAATAAATAAATATTTCTCAGCCAAAAATGTTAAATAAATTTAAAATTTCAAAAACTAGCAAAATATATGTTACAATATGCATACACTTTTTATTAAATAAAACTTAAATAACAATTATTGTCATGTAGCCTGTCTAAAACTATGAAAAGTAGTCTGTCCTAGCTCCAAGACCAAGGTCTCAGATCAGCAGTTAACTATACATAAAATTTAATCTATTAAATGAATGTTACTGAAAAGAATGATAATTAAACCATATTAACAAAAATAAAGCAGGTGAAAAACATACCGTGTGCAATAATGAAAGGATGATCAAACGCACACAGTTAACGTTAGGCCCATTAATAATCTGTTTAAAGATTGTTTAAAGCTGAAGCTGCAACTGCTGCTGCATACATAAAATACCTTCTTTTTTTAAAATCTCGAGCTCTTGAAAATGGTGGATGCGTATCGCTTTTTGTCCAGTCTATTTCAAACAGAACCGATCGCAGCATTGTGTTTCCGGTCAAGGTTGCTTCACGCAAGGAATTGGGATCGTGCACACTTTTAAAAAATTGCGCGCATCACATAACATTCTGTATTCATCTGCTGTCTTTTGCTTGCGTGAACTCAGTTGTTTTCGTCAGTCGGGCTGCTTCTCATTTCTAGAGGTTCATCCTTATTGTCGAACCCTACTTTTAAAAAAAATACAATTTAAAAGTGATTTTCGACCAGCCAAAGTGGCTAGTGGGAGTGGCTGTCTAATCCGCCACAGCTAAAGTCTACCTGCGGTTGGTGGGTGTTTATGTCAAGCCCTGGTGTTAACCCATTAATCTGATTATACTGTATTTAGGCTACATACACACTGTAATATTTCAGGAGGAACGGCCGCATACAAATATGGAAATAAACTCAAAATTGTGATAACCTTAGTGACATTTGGTTTTGTATCCTCAGATTTTTACACGCAGTAATATTACAGCAACTACAGAATAATTATTGTCAACAATTTTAGGTAAACCAACAGTAACAGAGGAGGCTTTTATGTTTGGAAGGCCATTTTTGCAATTGATTTTTCACATTTTTCTTTTACCACAGTTCTAGTACATGGCCATATAGTCTGACATAGTGTCATTGTGTTCTCTGTCTTGTCCCAGAATCCTTTACCAACGTTGCGTCTTGGCAAGTCATCTGATGTGCGTCAAGGTGAATTTGTGGTTGCCATGGGGAGCCCCTTTTCTCTTAAAAACACCATCACATCTGGAATCATCAGCTCTGCTCAGAGAGGCAGTAAAGAACTGGGTCTCTCCAACTCCAACATGGACTACATCCATACGGACGCTACCATAGATGTAAGAGCACTGGAAACTGGGTGGTGTTGCATGCAAAAAAATGTATGTCATCATTTAATGAATTGCATTCCATCACTCAATCACAATTCTGCTTTACAGTTTGGAAATTCAGGAGGGCCTCTCATAAACCTGGTGAGTCGCTGACATTTGCTCAACTGACTGCCTCTGCATTTTGGTTTAAAGGGTCACGAAACACCAAAACACATTTTTGAGATGTCAATAGTCATATATATTTTCCACGCTGCTAAAAACACTCTTAGGACACATATTTAACAATAAAAGAGAAAATTGGTTGTTTTTGCTTTATTTCAAACAAATTCGTTCTTCCAGTTTGAAAAGAAATTTTGAAGCTACGTGAAGGCCATGAGCTCCTTGTGTAAATTCCAGCATGGAGACTGGCTGTCTGTATCGGCGGGTACAATGTGACGTCTTTGAGCTTTCATCATTATTTCAAGAGAAAGACGAACCAATCAGCGCGCTCTATTGTGAATGAGGTGCAACTTTATTAATATGCATGATAGCTTCAAAAACTACCTGTTACAGTATTCAGAGAGACGCCACGTTGTGTTGCTAACCGTAAATAAAACAAGTGGAAGAAGAAGAATTGTTCGGAGACATGGGTCGTCAGTGTTGTTTATAAACGTGCAACAACAAAGGTTTTGTTTTCATTTTCCCGCAGTGAGAAAGGACCCACATTTGTGGACTACAGTGGTCTTCTAACACGCAACAAAATTATGTTTGTAAGGAACATTTTTACCCGAGAGCTTTTTGTATTATAAATGGTGAAATCCAGATTTGCCACTCGTCTTCTTATAAAAAAAATCACAAATCCAGTTTGCGTTGATTGTCCTGTCTCTATGGATTTGGTAAGTAAGCAATCGGTGTTCCTTGTTATTCAGATGGCGAAGTAGGCCATTAAAACTACACTCTTCTAGCAGTTCCTCTGATCCAATATGTCGTTTGTCATGGGGGCACGCATGAAATGTTCTTGAATGAAAATGAAAGTGCCAAACTGCAGTTAAAGTCGACAAATTAAGAATGAAACTCCCCAAAATTACATGACACTCCGGAGGAAACATGGATAGCGTGGTGACACAATAATGTTAATCGTATTATGTGCTTTAACATGTAAAACGGGATCATGAAATAAACATTCAAAAAGCAACTCATGCAAACACCTTAATCATATTGTTGTTTTAATCAGATTAAGGCAAATAGTTAGATTACTGATGTCCACAAAATCATTACTTTATCTGTTAAACTGACAAGTGTAACACAAACTACTCTCCTGTCTTCATTTGGAGTAAAAATTCCAAGTAACTCAACACAAGCAAAGGCAATTGTAGGCGTAATAGTAGAAGTATTAGGGTAGGAGTATTTAATTAGTGTGCTAGAACCACACTACGAAATCCCAAGTAGAACGTATCTCACAGCTATGGTGGTACCCTCCTTGTACAATAATGTGAAGGAGAAAGTTATTAGTGCACATTTAGTAGTTGACTACAGATTGCTGGACCTTCAGAGCAACACAGAGCTTCATGACTGTGATTTTAAGAACGTGAATTGTTTTCAAATGTTCATCAGTATTGCATTGTACTGGCCATACTCTAGCCTTATGTAATAAACTGATGTGTCATGTTTGTACTCTTCAGGATGGTGAGGTCATCGGCATTAATACCATGAAAATGACAGCAGGGATTTCCTTCGCTATTCCCTCAGACAGAGTCCGTCTCTTCCTAGACCGATCTGCAGACAAACAGGGTAAGAATGACCTCACAGCTGCTTGCTTTTGTCTGTGACATCATTTTTTTCACTGACAGATGGTTATTGGGTCTTTTTTTCAGAGTCTTGGTTTGGAGAATCGGGATGGAAAAGGCGTTACATTGGAGTGATGATGTTGACTTTGACCCCCAGGTGCCAAACACTTTTATTACAATTTTACAGGAGAGCAAAATTCATACATTATGGAATCTGCAGATTTTTGTTATTTACCACTAGATTTGGCTCTTAGAAATTCAAGTGCTGAATTACCTGGAAAATTGGCTTGTTCTGTTGAAAAGTGCTTAATTTATCAAGGAGAATTTGTATGCAATTTTCACGCCCGAAAAATAAAAATGTTTGTGTATTTTTGTGACAGTTTAATGCAAAAATACCCACACAATCTACCGTGATTCCGAAGCAGTGATTTAAATGATATGAGAAGTGACCAATCAAAGTCCACCTTGTTTAGTTTTACCTGAAATGTAAGGGCGGGACAAAGGCCTTACTGTGTTGCAGTGACAGAAAAAAACAACTTAAAAACAAATGTTTTATTGGAAAAATGCTTTTGGGATGTTTTCACTATATGTTATTAGCAAGAGTAATTAAACCTTGTACATACTTTCTGCCATTTCAATGATCTACACTGTAAGAAAAAATCATAAAAAAAGGTCAAATGACTGGCAGCTACGGCTGCCAAACAAAAACCATAAAATTACAGTAAAATTTCTTTGTTTAAATAAAGTGCAAAAAATAATAAATCTACAGATATTGTCATTAAAATTTTTACAGAAAAACACTGTTATTTTACAGACTTTTCCTAGATTATTACTATCAAATCCATTTAATAAAGTAACACAATAAGAGTTTTACAGAGAAACACTGTTATTTTACAGACTTTTCCTTGATTATTATGATCGAACACTATCAATAAAGTGACTGCACTAAAAGTTCAAGAGAAAACAACGCTATTTAATTTTTTTTTTACAATTAAATGCCTTTAATAAAATGACAAGACATGCTTTTGGTCGTAATTTAACAGTTTTATTTTGGATCAAAAAAGTTTGGAAAAAACATCAAGTGAGATACAACTGATTAAAATTCTCACAACTATAACATTACATTTTATTGAATAGTATTACTTTAAAACATATAGAGGTTTACGTTGTATGAAATGATTCAGTTCCAAATCTTAAATGAAATGGAACTGTAACGTTAAGGGGACCCTGACAAAGAGGTGCAGATTCAAATGCAGGTTTATTACACAGAGATGGTCAGGCAAACAAGTCAACACAGGGGCAAACTGCAAACAGATGTATGCAGTGAATCCAGAGTCATGGTCAATTAACAAGCAAATGATCAGTCCTAGCAGCAAACAACGTAAACAATTTACAAACAAAGCAAGGCAAAAGAAGAGAACCGCGTCATAATGTTCACAGTAGCAGTATAACAAGACTAAGCAATTGGTGCGTGCGTCTGTGCTGCTTTTAAAGTGCATGTAATCAGTTCATAACGATCCTCCGACTATGTGTGTGCAATCAGCAGAATCTGAAACAGGTGTATGTGAGCACTCTTAGTGTGTTACTTTATTAGATGGATTTGTTCGTAATAATTTAGAAAAAGTCTGTAAAATAACAGTGTTTCTCTGTAAACATTTTAATACAAATATCTGTAGATTTATTTAGATATAGTAGATTTAATTTTTTTGTAAAAAACAGACAAATTGCTGTAATTTGCCATTACTTATAGTACATAAAATAACAGTCAAGCCGTTAACTTACAGATAATGTTTGTAATTTTTACCAACTTTTAAATATAATTTAAAATAACAGAAAAAATACTGTATAAATAATACTGTAATTTCCCTCTATAAAAAACACAAATGTCAGTAATTTGTCTTTAATAATAAAGTACCTAAAATAAAAGTCAAACGGTTAATTTAGAGAGATTGGTTGTCATTTTACTAAGTTTTGAATATAATGTGAAATGACAAAAACTTACTGTAAAAAATTTAAGGATATTTTTTTTGTAAAAATTTTTTTTTACAGTGTACACACACATTTTGCTCTCTTCTCTTCACTCTGTTCTTCTGACTTGTCTGTCACTCTACTGAATGTTGGTGTGGGAATGCAGGTATTGCTCAATTACTCATTTCTGCAAACGTATCGAGCGTTTTATTGTAACATGAGAGCGCAGTCATGTACATTAATCATAAAAACACATATGCGAGCTCTTAAATAGGCTTTTTCAAATTAACTGCAAGTTCTCTCATCATCTCAGTGTGCTCAGACTGTATACAATTGCGATCTCCTCAATATTAAAGTAGAAATTATTTATCTTTGCTCCTTGACTAAAAAAAGTATTTGGATTACAGACTTTTTATTAGGCTGTATCATCAAGTAAACCTTACTTTGAGCAAAGTTGGGACTTTTTATATTTCTTTAAGACAAAAGAATTATGCTAGAAATGTTTTTGTTTGGGGTATTTGTGGGATTTATACACAGCAGCTGTATTCTGATCTGTCTTAAAGCATCACTGAATTGTACAGGCATTACAGGTCAAAGCAATCTGCTGTTACATTTAACATAATGAACAATAAGGCTCTTCAAACACTGCTTTAAGAAATGCAGTGTTGTCATATTTCAAATACCTAGAGTTAAACAAGGCCATTTGCTTTATTATTTTATTACTGACAGTGTACTTGTCTTTTTTGTAAAATTATTTCAGTTTAAGATCAAGTGTAAAATAATATTTCCATGTGCTGTACAGCTATTTAAGAAACAAATTTGCCATATTGTAAAGACAAGAATGAGCAAATAAGAAAAATAGTGTAAAATATGTAAATAAAAGGCTAAATTTAAATATTTTAATCATATATTTTAATTAAACCTTTCAAATAGGGGTGTCAAAATGAATTGTTTCTTCGATGCACATGCGGACAGTTCGGTATCGGTTCTGTAATAATCATAACCGATTATTGTGTACTGACGTCATTTATCTCATATGCGCTCTGTCGCGAGGGAGGCGAGCGCGAGTATTTACAACACTCTAACTACTTAAAACTCAAACTGTGCACAATTTCACTGCGTGTGTGTTTGCTGGACAGCTGACATTTACAGCAAAAGCCCCTATTTCACTGCGACTGAGAGAATGAAAGTACTCCATTTCTCTCTCTCTCTCTCTCTTACACACACACACACTGACACACACACTGACACACACACACAAACTCACTCACTCACTCACTTGCACATCTCCAGTCAACATACAGTGGTGTTTTCTTTCTGAATTAATTGACTTTTCTTATTCCCAATACTTTTACTCAGTTGGTGACAGTTCTAGTTACTTGTTCAAAGAATTATTTCATTAAACCAAATGATTTAATATTTTCTTATTAATCATAAGTAAATGAATGAATAAATGGATAATAAATAATGGAATAATTGTATAATTTATTCATTTTGGTTTAGTTTTAAATGTGTATCAATTTCTTTATTTTGGTTAGTTTGTAACCAAACTGTTTTAGAGTATCCAAATACCAATTTAGAGACCTCTGGGGGGGAAACAAATATTTGTAGTTAATTCTATGTTGAATAGAAAAAATCATTTATATCTCTTTTTTTCAAAATGTATACTTGATGTTTTTGTATTTAACAATTATGAGTGAAACTTTTGTATTTTGAGCAGTTTCTCAGTAAAATTCAAGATGGATACACAGACAGACAGACAGACTGACTGACTGACTGACTGACTGACTGACTGACTGACTGACTGACTGACTGACTGACTGACTGACTGACTGACTGACTGACTGACTGACTGACTGACAGACAGACAGACTGACTGACTGACTGATAGTTTGATAGATAGACAGAGATAACAAAAGTACACACATCCTTTAAAGAAGTACAGCCTCAAAAATGTAATAAATTAAAAAGTACCCGTTTCAACCTCAGTCCCAAAGACACGCAGTATAGATGAATAATAATTCAACTGAACTGGCAGTGTATAAGTGTGTGTGTGAATGTGAGTGAGTATAGGTGTTTCCTAGTACTGGGTTGCAGATGAAATGGTATCCACAGTTTAAAACTAATTCTGGAATAATTATATTTTTATTCATAAATTGACCAGCATACTTACATTTTGTTTTTGAAAAAAAAATTGTTAATAGAAAAATTTAATAAAACTTATCAGAAATAAAGGAAATAAACCACAATGCATAATTTTTTTTATAAAGTATTTGATTGTTTTAGTATTAAATGTACAAATCTTTACAAAAAAGCACTATATTTCGCGGTATTACAATGAAAGACAAGAGAAAGCCTGTTCAGAATGATCAGAAGTGGACAAAAGACTTGAGCATTAAACCGCATGCTTTTAAACTAGAATGTGTCTCTCTTGTCTACCTGTGATCTGAACGAGCAAAATGTGTTTTATTATCGTGTAAACAGGGCAGCATCAGTCATGTTAGATTTAACGTCTCCCTCTGTCACATCTGCATAGTCATCCTAGCCTTTCTCATTGTAATCTTCATAAACTAAACCATGTACAGTGCGCAATAGCCTTGAAAAGGCCACACAGTGCAGCACACAGGTGCACAATGAGGAAATATGGACTGACTGCATCAAAACTGTTCATATTGCGCAATGACACGAAATAATATTGATCGCGCCACCAAACACATGAAAATAAAAGTAACGTGCGTGAATTAAAAAATGTAAGGAGCAGAAAGTACAGATATTTGTGTAAAAATGTAAGTAAAAAGTAGTCAAAGAAATAAGTAGTGGAGTAAAGTACTGATACTAGAAAAATCTACTTAAGTACAGTAACAAAGTATTTGTACTTCCCATCTCTGTAGATATATCAGCATAACAATCAATATTACATTCGCTTCAACAAAAAACACCTCAACAAAACATTCATACTACTTCAATTGCATAGAGCAGGGGTGGCCAACACTGTTCCTGGAGATCTACCTTCCTGCAGAGTTCAGTTGCAACCCATATCAAACACACCTGCCTGTAATTATCACGTGGTGTTCAGGTCCTAATTGATTTGTTCAGGTGTGTTTGATATGGGTAGCAACTGAAATCTGCAAGAAGGTAGATCTCCAGGAACAGGGTTGGCCACCCCTGGCATAGAGTGTGACAATAGAAATGCTGTTAATTTGAAATGCATTGAATTAATTTATCAGTACATGCTGTAATGAATCAGATTAAATGTGTGTTATGGATATTGAAAGATATCCACAGGCCTGACTAAAAAGAAATTGCTCATAAATTTTGGTCATAAAATGTGCAGACACTGGTTAATAATCAATCGTATTAACTCACGTGTGTTTGTGCACACTGTTACATGGATTACATTTTTGCGCATTTCCCTGTGCACACACTCCTGTGTTTGCACTGAAGTGAGTCTTTTATTATCTTTAAATTCTCTTTTTCCCTTCCTCAGTATAATCGAAGAGCTAAGGATGCGAGACCCGTCCTTCCCTGATGTTTCTCATGGAGTTCTCATCCACCGTGTGATTGTAGGATCTCCAGCCAACAGGTGTGCTGCTCTCTGAACATGATGTTATCAGCTGTTGATTAAGGCATCCTATTGATGATGTCATTTCCTGTTTTCTGTTTTGCAGAGCCGGAATGAAGCCAGGAGATGTTATTATTGAGATCAATGGGGTAAAGGTGAACACGTCGGAGGAGATATATAATGCTGTGAGGACCAAATGTGGTGGTCCGCCGGGGGGCCGACCTGCTCATGCTGCACATGACCCCAGAGTCCACAGAGTGACATCAAGTCAAGTATTTAGTAAGATTAAGAAATGGTGAGTAATGAGAAGCTGCCATAGTTGGAGATGTTGTAAGAAAGGAATCATCTAAAGAGTTGAACAGTTTTAGCAAACGCTGGACATTCGTGTAGTAAACGTGTTTCTGGAAGCGTATGAAATAATGTGGATGATTCAGACTTCTGTACACTGGATAAACCTCAGTGTGTCTGCGCAAACTACACTATCAGTATTGATTTGAAGGAATATCACTGAATATTTTGTTTAGGATTGTCATGATGGCAACAAACACTCAACGACCTTAATAAAACTGGGTGCTCTTATTGTGAAAATGCTGATGTTTTGTATTGAGTCTCACATTCTCATGTTACGACGTTTGTATTTTAATACATTTTTCTGAACAGCTCTGATTTCACAATAAACCATTGGAATGTTTATGGATGATTTGCTTATGTCGCAGTGACTGATATGTTTAGGTTTTGGGTCAGCGCTGTACAGCATTCTGAAAAAGTGTATTTCTAAAAGTGCGCTGTAATGACGCCAGTGTCAACTGCAGTGTGTGTTGGAAAGGACTGGATGCTGTTCAAACCTCATGCCAAATTTTTGTCACCCCATACAAAACCATTTTAAATCCACACAATCTGACAACACTGGGGCTAGATCACAATATAAGCCACAACACAAGTGAGTTCAATAAAATATATCTTTATTACAGACGTGTACAAAAATCAAATATACAAAACATTCTGCTAATGTGACTCAGAACTCCAGCATGGACCAGTCGTGGTAAGGCATCTCTTCTAGAGGAATTCTGCACTCTGGATTCTCATGCAGACAAGCCGTCATCATATCACAGCATTCTGTGAAGAAGAAATGGAGAGGTGAGGTTATTGTTATTATTATTATTAAGCTGTTTCACTTAATTGTTCTTTGATGAACATCTCACCTTGAGAGAGGGTAAATTTGGACCAGTCATGTTGAAGGTAGTACAGGTCATACGCTGATGGGAATTCTCCATGGAGCATTGTGAACAGAAGAACCCCAAGAGAATAGACCGTCGCTGGTTTGGCCCGGTAGCATCCTTTTTCATAAAACTCTGGCGGGATGTACGCTTCTGTGCCTGGAGAAGAGACGTTTAGTTTAGCATCATGTTGAATATATATACCAGATGGGCTTCAGCTGTGCTAATTAACCAGCTTTCAATACGTATATTAATAATGCTTATGCACATTCATAACTAGTGTTGTCAAAAGTATCAACTACCAATCGATACCGACACTCATCACAGTCATATTTGCTGAGCATGTGAACACCAATGGCCAATCAGTGGTGTTTAACAGCGCTCAAATTGACTTGTTAAATGTCAGAATCGATTGGTACCGAAGTCGATACTTTTGACCACACTATTCAAAACACCTACCAGAGAAGAGACTGTAGGCTGATTCCATCATGAAGTCTCCACACCCGAAGTCGATCAGCTTGACTTCCAGTGTGTCGGGGTTCACCAGCAGGTTTTGAAGCTTAATGTCCCGGTGGAACACCCCGCGGTAACAGCACACGTTGGCCGCATAAACAGCTTGCCTCATGATGGTATGTGCTGTTTTCTCACTGAGGACTCCTCCGCTGACTTCAAGGAATGCCTCCAGGTCCATGCTTGGACTAGGCCGCTCCATCACCATGACATAATGATTTTCAAAGACCTGCCAGTCCAAAAGCTGAATAATGTTCGGACACCTGGAGCCACCGCTGGCCATGTTTGCCAAGGTGATCTCTAGAGGAAGTGGCTGGTCACATGACTGAAAACAAAATAATAATGTTGGTTTTCAAACAAGGGTTTCTAACCACAGCCTGTGGTCTATAATAAATATAAGACTTTATAAACTGAACACAGCGAACAGAAAGTGTAGTCTACTCACAGAGCTGACATCTTGCATATTTGGTGTCTTCTGGACAAATTTAACTGCCACCTGTTTACAGGAACAAGCGAACAATTAACATGTGCACGGAGATCATTTCATTCAGTCATAAATCCTGAACAGAGGATTCATTCGTCAGCAGAAATGTCCAAACAATGAAAGCTCTGATGATGTTCTTTAAACAGGGAACTTCATCAGAGGATTTGAGTCTACAAAAATGAATACCTGCAGACCATCCTGTATGCGAATCCCCTCATACACGGAGCCGAAACCTCCTTCACCAAGCTGCTTTCCGAGTTTGTAGCGGCAGCTGATGTCATCTGTTAAAAATGAAGAAAATGTCATTAAATTATAAACCAAATAAAAACACAAACAGTTGAAGTCAGAATTATTGTCAGATTTCAGAACATGATAGTTTTAATAACTCATTTCTAATAACTGATGTCTTTTATCTTTGTCGTGATGACAGTACATCATATTTACTGGATATTTTCCAAGATACCAGTGTTCAGCTTAAAGTTCTGAATACTTAAACTTTATTGCTCTGCATCATTTGGGAAATATTTAAAAAATATTAATAAAAAATCACAGGAGGGCGAATAATTTTGACTTCAACTGTATAATTTTACAAAGTTTGATGAGCCTAAACAAATGTTCTGAACTCCAGCAATAAACTTACTATTGTCCAAGCAGGTCCCATCATCTGCTGTAGACTCCACAGCAGAGTCCTCTTGTGAGACCTGATCCGGTGAAGGGTTCGAGTTTTCATCCAGGGCAGAGTCACAGATGTCATCTGTTATGAGCTGCTGGCTCACTGGAAGTTCATTGTCCTCATCAGATGGTGAACTTGGAGGACTATCAAGCTCTTGCTCCAGGCTGTCCTCACTGAGGGAGGATTCGTTGTCTTCTGGGAAGTGAAGCTCTGCAGAGTCGTTCTCAATGACCACTGCAGAGTCAAAGCTGTTCACTTCCGGTTTAGAGTCTAAATCTGGAGCATCAAGAGCTGGAGGTTGGAGAACTTCCAGCTCCAGGTTGCTCACAGCAGTGCAGAAGAATTTAGAGCTACTGATGGGCTCTGCGTGAAGTTCGTGGATCTCCTGCACACATAGCTGATCTAAAGAGAGGAAGGAACATCATTAATATGACTCTACAACTCTTTTTGACAAGATATTTGAACAGTTCATTTGCAGAAACATTACTCAATGTGTTTTTATTGATGATCTTCATGGGTTTTCTGCATTGAATTAGCAAACAAGTAAACTATATATCTAAAGGCAAAGCTCACTGAAATAAAAAATCCTAATACAAATAATTCTTATTTTTTCTGTTTTTTACACAAAACTACAAATTCTGAAGAAAATTCCTGAAATCAGCAGCCATTAACCTTCATTGTAGGAACACAAAATACTGTGGAAGTCAATGGCTGAAAGCACCTCAAACAGGTTTAAGGAGTAAATTATGACAGAATTGTCTTGTTTATGTGAACTGTGGCTTTAAGAAACTCTTTCTAAAATGTCTTCCAGTAATGTTCATTTCTGATCTTTAAACACTTATGTGATGTGTTTGGTGTGTTTAACAGTATGCTTTAGTAATTAAAAGTGCTCATAAATCTATTTTACCAACAACAGTAGCTCTTCTTCTGGAAAAACAGGCGAAGAAGATGGGAGACAATTTGAGTTTCCTCTTTTTCTGTCTCCCTGCCTGTTTTCCTGCAGCGACGGCCGGGTCATCGGTCATCAGATGACGGTGATTCTCTGTCGTGCTGCCGGTGGGTTCGAGTGGCTCACACGGTTGTTCGTTCGCACACTTAACACCAAACGCTTTCTTCAGACGGTTAATCAGTTTTGAAAATGCCATTTTATCACTGTACTGTTGAATCGCAGAAAGTACTGAACTACTAGACATCCAAAGAAGCTACTGAGAGATTCTGCTTCGTCAAAAGCTTTTTACTGTCACCGATGATGTCAGAGTTCCACAGTTCCATTTGGTATGACGTAGAGACTTTTTAAAACACAACAAACTTCTAATGCAGGCCCGCGCTAGACTGACTGGCTCATTCGCCTTAATGTGCTCACACAGCCACCAGCTTATACACATTTTTTCCAATTATTAATTAAATTAATTTTGCACTTAGGCCTATGTATTTTTTTTCTGTCATGCACAACTTTTCTGCGTTTTGCTTTTTGTTACAATTTTTACCATGTTTATATATATTTATACGTGCGAGTGTGTGTGTGTGTGTGTGTGTGTGTGTGTGTGTGTGTGTGTGTGTGTGTGTGTGTGTGATTCATTTATTTTGAGTAGCTCATTTCAGTTATTTTACATTTTCGTTATCAATTATTTATCATTTTTAACAGTATTATTATGATCATTTATATTATATTTTATATATTATGATTATATAAACTCGTTATTGTTGTGAATTCTTTTTTAAATGAATAATACGGTGGCCCAATAGTGCAAAACAACAACATTAAGATGAAAACGCTGCAACATGAACACAACAACATTAAGATGAAAACACAACAACATTAAGATAAAAATGCTGCAACATGAACACAACAACATTAAGATGAAAACACAACAACATTAAGATGAAAACACAACAACATTAAGATGAAAACACAACAACATTAGGATGAAAACACAACAACATTAGGATGAAAACACAACAACATTAAGATGAAAACACAACAACATTAAGATGAAAACACAACAACATTAGGATGAAAACACAACAACATTAGGATGAAAACACAACAACATTAAGATGAAAACACAACAACATTAAGATAAAAATGCTGCAACATTAAGATGAAAACACAACATCAAGATAAAAATGCAGCAACATTAAGATGAAAATACAACAACATTAAGATAAAAATGCTGCAACATTAAGATGAAAACACAACGACATTAAGATAAAAATGCTGCAACATTAAGATAAAAACACAACAACATTAAGATAAAAATGCAGCAACATTAAGATGAAAACACAACAACATTAAGTTAAAAACGCTGCAACACTAAGATGAATCATGCTGCAACACTAAGATGAAAGCGCTGCAACTTTAAAATCACAACACAACGGAAATGCTCCTGACCACTAGGTGGCAGATAACGGGCAGTCGTGTGCCCATCTTAAGAGTTTTAGTTCAAAAGTTTCGTTTCATTTCGGACGTTGCTCTTGGTAGCAATCATGTATTGCCCATTTTGCTGGGCTTCACTTGACAGTTGCCCGTCATTCTGCAGCAAATGTGGAAAAAACATAACGTTTATGAAAGGCAAAGTTCCTGATGGAAATGAGCCCAGCACCAGTGGAGGTAAGTTACAATGCTGTATTGTTTGTAGGGTCCTATGAATTTCATAAATCGTATCTGACATGAAATCGAATAACGCGGTTTGTCACGGAATTTTCTTATTTTTTGATGAATATATTAAAATAGCGTTGTAACGTTACACCTCGTCAAAGCACGATCCCGAGGATTTATGTTAATTGGACATGCTGTTTGATTTCTAAAGAATGTTTTATTCTTTTTAATATTTAATGCAGATTTTCGTTAGCTGATTAATGTGACATACAATAGATTTTTATGACAATGTTTCTGAAGCAGGAAAAACAGAAACAAGTTCTGTGGATTGCTTCATGAAGTACTATTGATGTTTAATTTTATAAAAACATTAAGATTTCCCAGAATATCAAATCTTAAAGTAATAAAAATCCTCATTCACAACTTGATTTAAATTTAATGTTACTAACTTACATTTAGAACTTCTTGTGGAATTTCTCGAGGTAATAATCATTGTTTTGGTCTGTATTAATAATATCTGTTTAATCAGAAGAAGTAATCGGTGTTCCACTGCCACCTAGTGGTTGGGAGCATTTCCGTTGTGTTACGTTTTTAGTGTTGCAGAATTTTTCATCTTAGTGTTGCAGCATTTTTCATCTTAGTGTTGCAGCATTTTTCATCTTAGTGTTGCAGCGTTTTCATCTTAGTGTTGCAGCATTTTTCATCTTAGTGTTGCAGCATTTTTCATCTTAGTGTTGCAGCTTTTTCATCTTAGTGTTGCAGCATTTTTCATCTTAGTGTTGCAGCATTTTTCATCTTAGTGTTGCTGCATTTTTCATCTTAGTGTTGCAGCATTTTTCATCTTAGTGTTGCTGCATTTTTCATCTTAGTGTTGCAGCATTTTTCATCTTAGTGTTGCAGCATTTTTCATCTTAGTGTTGCAGCATTTTTCATCTTAGTGTTGCTGCATTTTTCATCTTAGTGTTGCAGCGTTTTCATCTTAATGTTGTTGTGTTTTGCACTACTGGGCCACCGTAGTATAATGCTTCAAATAATAAATTAAAAAGAAAAATATGCAACAAAATGAAGTTATCCATGTATTACCTGAAACCGCCAGTAGGTGGTGGTAGGACACTGTCTTAAGTGAATAAGACATTTATTCAGCAACAAAGCAACTGTTGTATTTATGAATAGGTCAAGGATGAATCGACTCTCACAATTTATTTAAATCCACAGATTCATTCACAAAAAATAACCCACTCTAGCCTAAATAAGGACTGAACCGATGTGAACGCTAACAGGTAGGAATAATGATCAAATTCTTGTGGATTAAACATCTTTATTGACATTAATTGCAGTAGATTTTATTAAGTTACAACAAAAGGTATAAAATGCTTTTAATTGCGAACTGTACTTATTTTGTGTGAACATGCTACATGCTAACACCATCACAGCATTGCAGTCAACTAATTTAGAGCTACTAACGTTAGTCAACAGTCCCCACCTTCACTAAGTGAAAAATGCGAATTAAAAAGAAAAAATAACCTAAATAAAATAAACAATTACAAATTAAACAAATGAATATTTAAGTCAGTGTAAATAGATCTAACGTTTATTACTGTATGTCACAGGCTATAGTAGCGCTAATTAGCATTTGATGCTAATGCTAACATTGATGCAACTTAATGTAACGTAAATATTAATGTTATATTAACGGTACTGTAACTTTAATCTATTGTTTTACTTAAAAGCTCGATCAAACCTTTAACGTTAACATCAGTCAGATTAATTGCTATTTGAGTGATTCTGTTAATATTAACATACATTTGTTTCTGTCTAGTTTACTTTAGGAACTATACAGTGAGAGGAATTATTTAGTTTTATATTACAGAAACTCGATATTTCTTTTCTATATTTTTGTTAGGCCACAGTTTGAAATGCCATTCTGCAGGCTGAAATGGCATATTTAACACAATTAACCACGGCTTTACTACAAATAATACAGTCAGGTTTATTTTGTGTGGATAAATGTAAGCTTACTTTAGTAAAACTATGTTTTTGTCTTATTGGCTAAATGGGCTCATGAAAGTGTTTCACATAGAAATGAATGAATAATAATTAATAATAATAATTCCTTACATTTATATAGCACGTTTCCTGCACTCTCAAAGTGCTTTACGCATTGGTGGAACATGTTTCCCGAAAGCCATTTTGAAATGGAAACAATATTTTTCTTTCCCATTTATAGATGATATTTGGTCAACAATACATTTTTACGCCCAAATCAGGTAGAAGAAATTCATTTCAAAATATTACACAGGTACTACTATCCCTGCAATATATTTAATAATAAATAATAATAATAATAAAAAAATCACAAAAATGTTCTTTTTGTACTTGTGAATTTTCTGATGATTTTTGGAAACAGGTTTCAGGGTTGATTTTTGATTAATTTGGAGATATGCTGTAGAGAGAGGAATCATTAAAAGGCCAGAAGTGAAAATTCTGTCGTCATTTACTCCAAACATGCTTGCGTTCTTGTGATATTTTGAGAAGTCAGTGGTCCCTCACTGATTATAAAACACACACACACACACACACACACAAACACATTTTGAGTCTCTATGCAGTTACATTGACTGTAATTTAAGTTATGAAAGCAAACAATATACTTTTTTTTGTTTTATATTAATTATGACGTATTTAAAGTAAGACTTTCTGGCAAATAGGCTCATTTTTCAAGTTACTCAGAGTTAAACTGTTGAGTTTGGTCATTTTAATCCGTTCAGCTGATCTCTGGGTCTAACAAATAGTCCAAAATCTTTGATTATTACTCCAGAATGAGAGTATAGCAAAGATTATAGAATACACATGACGTGTCACTCGTATACTTTTGAATGGGAAAAGTGAAACAGTCATTATGGCAAATGAAGCCCCGCCTTCTAGTACAGGAGCCAATCAGTGATTGATATATGGCAAATAAAGCCCACCTTTTAGTACATGAGCCAATCAGCGATCAGTATAGAATGACAATTCTCCAGGGGAGGGGCTTGGACTAGATGTGAGTTTCTGCAGATATTGTGTGATATATATACATTTATAAATTAAACAAAAAGGACAGTTACTGTTTAATTTTATTGGTTATTCATAGTATGTAATGTAATCGTAATCTTGGCAAGCAGTTTTGAAGAATTTGATTTACCCATTCAAACAGAATGCCCATGTATACTTCCCAAGAGGCGTATAGGTATAGTTACTAGCCATGTCTAGTTGGAACATAGCAGCTATTCATTTCCATCAGTCTTGGTGCATACTTTAACTACACAAGAGTCAAGTCTTACTTTAAAAACTCTTAGGAATTTTTTGAGCGAGATGCTAATGGTCTAATCTGATTCAAGGATCTATGCTAAGCTAAGCTAAAAGTTCTTCTGTCAGACCCGGAGTTTGTCTGAATGGATTTAAAGAGCCCCTATTATACATTAAAAAGGGTCATATTTTGTTTTGTTTTGGGGGGGGGGGGGGGGTCTCCAACAACAGGCTGATGTGCATTCAAGGGCAAAGTACACTTTCATTGTCTTAAAATATGCATTTATTTTTATCAAATTATGCCAGCGACTCGCTTATGATTATTTAACAGTTAATTTGTTCCTACACCCCTCCCTAATGCGATGCTAATGTGCGCTGATTGGTCCTATTGTACTCTGTTGTGATTGGTCAACAGCATTCAGCGTGAGACAGAGAGAAATGCCCACCATGGCTTATCAACAATATTGAAGTAGTCAGAGTGCAGAGTGTATGTGTGAGTATACCTGCCAACAATTTTTTTTCGGGAGTCTCCTGTAATTTCAGACCCATCTCCCGCCACCCTCCCGTTTTGTTATTTATCCCAGAAACTGATGATGGCCATAGCAACGACAAGTGCCAGAGGATTGTGCATTTATATGCAAACGCATTTAAATCCATAAACAAAGCGGCACGCGTCGCATTTTCATCATGGCATTAGACGTGATATGAGAATATAAAGAGTTAACCAGATGCACTACAAGCGGTTATAAGTAGCAAAAAACAATTAAATACATAATTTGTAGAGAAAACAAAGAGGCAACCATTTTAATTGCACATACTTACACTGTCGAGCTCTGACAAAGTCCCATACGTCAACAGAATTTTCTGATCTAAAGCACTCATCAGAAAAATGACTGGAACACAGCACAAGCCTGGGCTGTAATGTTGAGGTATTTTTGCCAAAATAAACCTCAACCACTGACTCTTCACTGTTTCATCTTTGAGTAGAGAAAATAACACTAACTTTCCCCTCACACTTCAGAGCACAGCGTCTTCGCGACATGATTCAACTGGCGTCTGCTGCAGTGTCCTTCTTCTTTTTCTTTGCTACTGTGTTTGTGGGCGGGGCTGGTTTTTTTAATTTTCCCGGGATTGCGCGTGCAACAAATAGGCGGGTCCAGGCCCGGATTAGGAACTCAGGGGCCCCTGGGCACATTATCTTGTAAGGCCCCCTACCTGGCCGTACCCCTATAGTTGAATTTAAAAAATAATAATAATATAATATTTTTTAAATAAAATGAATCTATAATTTGTTGCCCACATATTTAAATAAATGATATATAGTACATATGTATTTACAAAGATTTAACTTATTTTTCAAAGCATTGAATAAAAATACTAATAAAATGAATGTTTTTTTAGTATACTTGTACAAGTTCACTGAAACAGTACTATATATATATATATAATTTTTAAGGGTATTTTTAATGTAGAGCTTTTACAAACTGATAGAGCACATTGTTTGCATGGCATAGGCTATATCACACAATGCCTCTTCAATCCAGTTCTATGAATCTGAGTGTTTAATAATACACACACTTATTAATGATTTACTGTCTCTCTCTTCCTCTCTCTGTATTCTCTCTACTCTTCTCGTGATGAAGAGTTGGCAAACAGCATAGATCAACTTGATTATAAACCTAAAAGTATCCGAAAATCACACACACTATACCTCTTCTCCTCTCCGGTCTCTCTCCTCTTCGTGGCCTTTCTCTCTCCCTCTCTCTCTCCTTTTTCTATCTGTTTGTCTCACGGTGAATCCAGTCCGCGCTGCGCTGCCGTTAGCCTCCTCCGCCTGGTTAATGCTAGCTTACTGATCTAACGTTACCATAACGTCGTCTTCTATACCCTCATCCTCCTGATCATGGGTCTGTTTGAAGAAGGTGTGTATGGAAAATGCCTCAATAAAGATGCCTCCTCTCCTCTTTCTCTCGCGTTTGCTAAATCCACTTGTCCACTCATTTTTGATACATGATTAATACTAACGTTACACTACAGTCCGCTCAGTTTAGTGCGGGTTATTTCAAAACTGATGTTTCTGCGCTTGACCAATTACAGCATTCTGTTAAGTTAAAGAAAAAAAGACAATTTAAACATAATAATAATAGTTATATGTGAGTTTTTTGCTCAGAGGAAATACAGTTGTCTGAGCAATATAGTTTTTACAGAGAAGGAGGCACCTTTATTAAGGCTAAACATTATTAAATACCCACGAGGCACTTGACTTTATATCACATTTGCATTATTTATTAAAAATGTTTCCTTCCTGTTAAAAATAAATATATTTCTAATCTGATATGTAATGGGGAGAAAAAAAGTAGCACAATTTCAGCAGTTGGTGGATTCGAACCGGGTTGTTGAACAATCGTGTCAAAAGATGTTGCTGTGCACATTACGAGGTACGCCACTCAGGCTGTGATGCTGCATAGCTCTTCTAGGCCCACACGGAATCTGTGCGCACAGAATTCTGCAGATTTTTTGCAGATCTTTAGCCTATCATTAATTCTGTTTATTTTCTTGAGTAAATATGTAAATCTGAATTTATTCAGTTTTTATTCAGTAATTTATTACTTTTTATTTAATATATTAAGGTGTAAGTTATGATACTCCGCTGGAAACTCCCAAAATAATTGCAGAGAAATCCGCAGATTTTTACCAAAATGCTCCACAGAAATAGCAAAAAACGTCCGCAGATTCCGTCTGGCCCTGCTCTTTACTCATGTTGTCTCTGTCAATCAAGCATCGATGGGCGTAAAGCGTGAATAGCTTATTCCAACTAGGTGCGCTATTTGCAGTTAGCCTAAAAAAACACCCCGAATTTGTCTTTTTCTTCTCCCCCCTCGCAGGGGCCCCAAGTGCGCTCGGGCCACTGGGCCTGTGCCTATAAGGCCCATTGGTTAATCCGGCCCTGAGCGGGGCTTAAGTTCCATTTCCAGGTCACACCGGCACAGCTAAA